CCATGTAATAGGATTAAGAACCAGTGGTATCTCAGTAGTCCAGCCAAATTAAGTGTGCCTGGTAGAGGTGATTTAAAAAGACAAATTTCAGCCTTTTGATTGTTTGCTGCTATCTTTTTTATACATTTTTATTTTTATTTCAATAGTTTTTGGGGGACAGGTGGTTTTTTTATTAACATGGATAATTTCTTTAGTGGTGATTTCTAAGATTTTGGTGCACCCATCACCCAAGCTGTGTATACCGCATTCAATATGTAGGCTTTTATCTCATACCCTGCTCCAGACCTTCTTCCTCGAGTACCCAAAGTTCATGATATCATTCTTGTTTTTTGTTTTTGTTTTTTTTTAAACAGAGTCTTGCTGTGTTGCCCAGGCTGGAGTGCAGTGGCACGATCTCGCCTCACTACAACCTCTGCCCCCTGGGTTCAAGCAATTCTCCTTCCTCAGCCTCCTGAGTAGCTGGGATTACAGGCACATGCCCCCATGCTGAGCTAATTTTTGTATCTTTTTAGTAGAGATGGGGTTTCATCATGTTGGCCAGGCTGGTCTTGGACTCCTGACTTTGCGATCTGCCCACCTTGGCCTCCCAAAATGCTGGGTTTATAGGTATGAGCCACCGTGCCTGGCCATTGTATTATTATATATTCCTCATTGCTTAGCTCTCACTTATAACTGAGAATATACAATATTTGGGTTTCCATTCCTGAGCTACTTCACTTAGAAAAATGGCCTCCAGCTCCATCCACGTTGATGTAAAAGATATTATTTCATTCCTTTTTATGACTGAGTAGTATTCTATGGTATATATATATATATACCACATTTTCTTTATTCACTTCATGGTTGATAGACACTCAGGTTGCCTCCATATCTTTGCAGTTGTGAATTGTGCTGCAATAAACATACGTGTATATGTGTCTTTTTCATATGACTACTTCTTTTCTTTTGGGTAGTAGTGGGATTGCTGGATCAAATGATGGTTCTTTAATACTTTCAATTCTTTAATCTTCGTACTGTTTTTCTTAGTGGTTTTTCTAGCTTATATTTCCACTATTAGTGTAAAAGTGTTCCCCTTTTATCACATCCACACCAACATCTATTGTTATTTTGGTTTTTAATTTTGGCCATTCTTGCAAGAGTAAAGGGTATCTCATTGTGATTTCAATTTGCATTTCCCTGATAATTAGTCATGTTGAGCATTTTTTCATATGTTTGTTGGTTATTTGTCAATCTTCTTTTGAGAATTGTCTTTTCATGTCCTTTGCCCACTTTTTAATGGGACTGTTTATTTTTTTTCTTGGTGACATGTTTGAGTTCCTTGTAGATTGTGGATATTAGTCCTTCGTTAAATACTTAGTTTGCAGACATTTTCTCCCACTCTGTGGGTTGTGTGTTTACTCTGCTGATTATTTCTTTTGCTGTGCAGAAGCTTTTTAGTTTAATTAGGTCCCATTTATTCGTTTTTGTTTTTGTTGCATTTGCTTTTGGGGTATTAGTCATGAATTCTTTGCCTAAGCCAGTGTCTAGAAGAGTTTTTCCAGTGTTACCTTCTAGAATTTTTATGGTTTCAGGTCTTAGATTTAAGTCCTTGATCCATCTTGAGTTGATTTTTGTATAAGGTAAGCGATGAGGATCCAGTTTCATTCTTCTACATGTGGCTTGCCAGTTTTCCCAGCGCCATTTATTAAATAGGTCATCTTTTCCCAAATTTCTGTTTTATTTGCTTTGTCAAAGATCAGGTGGGTATAAGTATTTGGCTTTTTTTCTGGGTTCTCTCTTTTGTTTCATTGGTGTATGTGCCTATTTTTATACCTGTTTGCTGCTTTCTTGATGTTTCAGCTTTCTTCTTAAATATATCAATAATTTTATTCTTTAAAAAAGTTTTCTAAAAGTTTTTTAAAAAGAAAGAAAATATCTACAAAATATTAAAAACTTAGAATTTATATAAAATGAGATTATTTACAAAACAGAAGAAATCTTTCCATAGAGCAGGGTTTAAGGTTTTCATTATGAAGGAAAAAAATATTTACTAGAGATCCTTTGATAAGCTTTACTAGTGCATCATATCTCTGAGGTAAAATAATTTGATTAATAAGGAAACTTAGAAGCATATCTCCTACTTAATTGAGTTATACCTGCATTGATTTACCTGGGCACATCGTAGATGTGTGTATCTATAATAACAGCATTTGACTGTCTATTGTGGGCAGGGTACTATGACTTTCCCCCTTTCTTCCACAAGAGAAGAGGTGTTAGAGAGCTCAGATCTCAGTCAGGAAAGTATGGTAGCATAATGGTTATGATTAATGTCTGGAGCCAAACTGCCTGGAATTTCAAGTGGCATTATGTCACTTACTGCGTGACCTTGGGGAAGATATTTTCCCTCCTTATACCTCATTTTCCACATCTGTAATACATGGATAATAATGATCTCTGATTCACAGGGTGTTATTGGCACCTGAGAATTAAATGAATTAATATTTGAGAAGCTCTTAGAACACTACCCATTTCATTGTAAGCACTGTGAAAACATTAAATAAAAATATATAATCTAGTTAACAGAATACTTATACCCATGAAGAGATAATTTATATTATAAGATAGTATAAATTGCAGTAAATGGAGAGTCGATTCCCTAAAATTCTTCAGGATAGAAAGATTTAGTGTGCATTGCATGCATGAATATAAGAGAACACGAAAATTCAAGGAAAAAGAGCTGTATTTAGATAAGTAGAATTCAGATAGAGAACAAAGATTAGGCCCAAATTTGAGGGGGATTTTATGAACAGAAGAATTAAAGAGGATGTAAAAAAAAGCCAAGTAAGATGGAGAATACGTAAAGAAATATTGGAAGCTATCCTAGAAGGTAGATGTGGATGCATTGTGGAAGTCTCTGGATATAAAGATAAGGCTTTCAGACTTTTAATTGTAGATGTGGGCTCCCCAACTTTATAAAGAAGCTTATGAATGATTTTGTGAAAAGTGCGTAGCACAGTACTTGGCAGAAAATACGCATTTAATAAATGTTAGCTAGTATTAGTAACAGTAATAGAAATGACTATGTAGTGTTTTACTGCATGGATGGGCTGTTTTTTGAATTTTTAACTAATTACCCCTTAATGAACACAGATAATTTCATTGATTTTGTTTTTCCATATAATGAATGTTGTGATGTGTACCCTTTCTGTAAAAGTGTTTTTTTTTGTAGCTATGGTTCCTTAGGGGAGACTTAATTCTGTCCTTTAAACTTGCCCTGGGAGGGTGTTGGGAAATTTCAGAGGGGATGCTAGAAAAGAAATGAGGGAGCTTTACCAGCTCTGATGCACTCCCTTCTGCTGAGAAATCTCTGCAACACTCATGACAGAAAAGTTATGATATTAGCTGTTAGCAGAGATGTTTAAGAATGCTTATTAAAAATAACCTGTTAGGGAACCCTTCTCTGAGTTAGAAGTTTTGTTTTGTTTTTAACCAGGGAAGCTTTGGGAAGATAATGGCATGCAGAGCAGAGTGTGAGGTGAACCAGAGGTATTTATGTTATGACATAATAAGAGACTGGTGGTCATAGACCCCAGAGGAGATATGAAGTGAAGACAAGACTTGGTAGATTTTGAAGGTATATGAACTGACAAGAGCTTAAGAAGATACTTCTAAGGTTCTAAACTTCATTGAGAAGGTGAATGTGATCAGAATACTAAAGTCAGAATGAAAACCCAATTTTGGGGAGAAGATTGGTTCAGTCTGACATGTGTTTGAAAAAGAGGCATTTAAGTTGACCTACCCATTAAATATTTGGATAGGATTCAGATCTACATTTTTTTTCCCTAAGGCATTGATACTGAAATCATGAAAATGACTGAGTTCAAATAAATTACATAGCTAGTATGTGAAAAAGCTGAGATTCAAATCCACAGGTTCTGCTCCAAAGTTCATATTCTTAGCTCCTATGCTGGCATGAAGGGGAGAAGTAATTCATTCTCATTTTTCAGGTTACTTTGCTGTTTTGGCATTTAATTTATTTTTCCCCTTTTCCGTATAATTTTTATTTACTGCAATATCGTGAGGATAGCTTGGGCCTTGAAGGGAGACATACATGGGTTTGGAACCCAGCTCTGCCATTTATATTTATCTGTGGACTCCTTAGTTAATCACTACATCCAGTGGCCTTTTCTTAGTTCTAATTTTCCATGGTGTGTCCATAGCAAAAAGACCTTCCTGAAATCTAGGTTTCTTATTCTTCAGTAATTTACCATCCTGGCCTTTTATCTGTTTCACCTTTTCTGCACTTTCTTCTATATAAATACACATAAATGTGACTATCTCTACATAGGTCTGAACTCAGCTCCCTGTTCCTTTTTTTTTTAAACATGTCAGCTGACTCTGGATTCTGGATATATTTCCTCTTCAGTAACTCTTTGTTCTGTTCTTTCTTTCTATCATCATGGTCTTAGTTCAGACCTCCTCCCTGCCTTCCCCTACCCCCAATTTTGTAATAGCATTCTTTCTACCTATCTTTTCTAGTCCAACCTCTCTTCCTATCCCAGGGTCATTCTCTTAAAACATAGATCTATTTCCCCATTGCTTGAAACCATTCAGTGATTCTCCTTTGTCAGTAGTCCTGTTTTTTTGCACAGTTATTCTTTAGGATGAATTAGGTGTTTTTCCAGGGAAAAAAGGTTCAGTGCTATACAGAAGAAACTCGGGAAAAAAGAGTTAAGTGAATTTGGGAAGTGCTTGTATAAATGCAGTCAGCTAGCCTTCCTTTTGGCAGCATCCTAATGCGCTAATGTGCATTGTTGGTGAACAAAGATCAATAAATAGCATTTCCCAGGTATACCTGATGTATGTGTGTGTGTGTGTGTGTGTGTGTGATCATTGAAGTTCAGTGATTACTTTTCCTTTCAGAAAACTTTTACATTGAGGGGATTCAGTCATCTATAGTTGTTAGGATAAAGAACATTATTTTATATGAAACATTGTGTAACGTATATTTCTCTTCTTAGGCATCATTCTTAACAAAGAAGTTAAATATTGGTGGGAAAAGAGTAAACCTTGCCATATGGGTAAGTGAACTTTTCCAACTATTGTGCATAGAGGCGTCTTCCTTTCTTTCTTTCTTTTTTTAAGTTAATTGGAGATTAGCCAAAACTTTTCTTTTCATATATATTTCTTTTCTTTTTAAAGACGGGGTTATACCAGGTTGGTCCGGCTGGTCTTGAACTCCCAGCCTCAGGTGATCTTGCCCGCCTTGGCCTCCAAAGTGCTTGGATTACAGGCGTGAGCCACCACGCCCGGCAGCCAAAACTTTTTCAAAAAAATTTTTAAAAATCTTAAAATCTGGTTGAGAATTATATCTGGGCTATAATTGTATATTTGAATATTGCTGCCATAACTTTTCATCTGGAGAAGGGTCAGTTCAGAAGAGTTCCACTTCAGAGAGAGGACAGGATGGGTGGACAGCTTGCCTGGCCTTTTTTTCCCCCACCCTGCTCTGTATTCCAGCCTTCTAAGGGAATGGCTGGTAGAGAGTAAGATGAGGATAATGCAGTAGGGTACTTGCTCACTGGTGGTCTTGATGCATATGCTGTTTCCCTGTCTCTCCCAGTGTGGGAAATTAAAGTTAAGGTAGAGCCTATTCCTGACTTATAATGCTGTGTTGGCTGTTTTGACCCCCTGGCAACTGAACTGTTTTTTTAATAGAGGTGGGGTAGTTGCTGAGGAGAAGGAAGGTTGGGACGGAAAAAGTAACTTTTGTCTATCAGTAAAACATTGCATATTGGTTATAACTTGACTTAAAATTTTTTTGTATGACCTGTTTTGCCATTTTGTTTCTGTTAGTAGGGTTTTGGGGTTGTCTGTGACTTTATGCTCTATTTTCCAAGTAATCAAAAGTTCACTGTGGTTGCAATTGTACATTTGTATTTTTCTTCTGATCTAATAAGTATTTGTTGCTCTATTTAGGATACAGCAGGTCAAGAGAGATTCCATGCGTTGGGTCCAATTTACTACAGAGATTCAAATGGAGCTATTTTAGTTTATGACATAACAGATGAAGATTCTTTTCAGAAGGTATTCTATTTACTTTATGAGTAGATGTCTTAGAAGAGCAACAGTAATTTTTCAAGTTTCCATTAATATACCTTTGTTCACTAATGTGATTAGTTTTGTTTTTAAAAATAAAGTATATAATTTGTGTGTAACTGGTGACCACTTATATTTTCTTTTCTTTTTCTTTTCACCTGCAACATGCAGATATACTCATACGTTTAATGAAATATTTAATACACATGAATTAATTTATGTTAGAATAATTAATGGCTTATTACATGGCTTTCTCAAATATTAGGAAAGGGAAATATTTGAAGTTGAACTTGAGAAAAATATGGGGGCTTTCGTTTCTCCCTCTTAAGGAGAAATCACACATATTTCCTTAATTCCATATGTACTAGGACTTGAAAACTTGGTGTGGCTGCACAGATTCCTTTATGTGAAAAGAAAAAAGGAGCAAAATCACATTTAAGCTTTCTCCTTGCCAAATATAATACAAGTTTTAAAAGGACAATCTTAAAGTTCTCTGATTAGTTTATTCCCCTTCAAATATATACCACATATGTACAACTCATAAAGTTGTCTGGGACCAAAAATGAGTTACCATTTAATTTACCTCTGAATTCTAATCACAATCAGATGGGTTACTTATTTGACCTTTCCTCCTAAAGCTGTTCTTGGAATAAATTTGTCAACAATGTTTAACCACAGGGAGTAATGCCAAGGAAGAAGCTTTTCTTGCTTTGAGTTACAGGCTTGTACTTGGTGAAATTACTTACCTTTTTGTTTTGTTTTGTTTCTCTTTATTTTTTTCCCAGGTAAATCTGATAAAGATACACAAGTTAGCCCTTGGGTTATTAATGATGTATGGAAAAACTTAGTCCAAAAAGTAGAAAATGAAATGATAGGTACCTTGCAGATGTAATGATTTTTAAAAGTTATTTTGGTGGTGCTGTTTGTTATCCCCTTCTAGCTTTTTGCATGAAATAGTTTAAATATTTTATTAAGGGAAGATTGAGGCCAGGTGCAATGGCTTACGCCTGTAATCCCAGCACTTCCAGAGGTTGAGGAAGACAGATTACTTGAGGTCAGGAGTTTGAGACCAGCCCAGATCACATGGTGAAACCCATCTCTACTAAAAATACAAAAAAATTAGCTGGGCCTGGTGGCACATGCCTTGTAATCCCAGCTACTCAGGAGGTTGAGGCAGGAGAATCGCTTAAACCCAAGAGGCAGAGCTTGCAGTGAGCCAAGATTGCGCCACTGCACTCCAACCTGGGTGACAGAGCGAGACTCCATCTCAAAAAAGAAAAAGAGCAGATAGTCATTTATGTTGAAAATTGACCAGTTATCTATTGCTGAACTCCCAAAATTTGTTGGCTTAAAGTAATGATTTATTATTTCTCATGATTCTGTGGGTTGACCAGGCAAGTCCACTGCTGTTTTTGATGTCATTGGAGTCACTCATACAGCGCACTGAACTGGGGAGTTTGGCTGGGGCTGGAATATCCAAGAAGGCCTAGTTCTCCATCCAGCCTTTCACTACATCTGGTGTCTTATCATCCAGTTTATTCTCTCTATGTGCTCTCTCATTATTCTGTATTCTAGCTTAAGCTTTTTTTTATATGACAACTGGATCCCAAGAGTTGAAAGTAGAAGCTACCAGGCCTTCTGAAGGCTTTAGTCTGGGACTGGCACAGCATTACTTCTGCCACATTTTCTTGTCAGGACAAGTTATAAGGCCAGCCCAAATTCAGAGGGTGGGGAATTTGACTCTACCACTTGATGGGAGGATTGACAAAGAATTTGTGACCATCTCTACCTTACCAAAAATGTATGGGGGTAAGGAATAGATAGAGTGCCTTTGGAGGGGTATCTGATTGGAAATGACTAACGCTTTTTTTAAAAAAATTGGTTAGATTAATAGGTTGTGATACTGTATGCACATGGAAAAGAGTAATACATAATTGGATTCTGGTGTGTTTCTTTTGAGGTGATGAAGATGTACATTTTATGCCAGTACAGTCAAATTTTTCTTATGTAAAATCAATAAAGAGTGGAAGTTAAATGCTTTGAAAACTTTATACATATATGTGAATGAAACAAAAAGGGTGGGGCTATACTAAGAAAATTCGTTTAGTGCTGTTATAAAGATGACTTGGTGATGATAATTACTTTTGCTTTTATAAAGATTTTAGATTTGCTAAAGATAGTTCCTCTGCATTCTTGCAGAGAATAGGAATGTGGAAGTGTTATATTTGTGCACTGTAAGACCAGATGCGTAGTAAGTGGTTACCACGTATCTAACGTCATTTTTGGAATTTTTAGATATATGTGTATTTTTTCAGGAAATTATATAAGATCAGTGTGTTTGTTTATATCCAGATTAAATTTCATTGCAAAGAATGAAGGCAGGTGTCCAAGTTTGCCTTTTATTCTGTTATTATAATCAACATATTTAAAATTGTGAATTGAAAAGATTAATCTACTTTATTCCAGTTTACTCCCAACAGTGCCTGCTGCTAGGCTTCATTCATATTGGAGAATCATTTCGTAACTGCAGTTATTGTATATCATTGTTTATCTACCAGAGGATGACAATGCCTGGAGACATCCTTGGTTGTCACAACTGGAGGATGCAACTAGAAGTGGGTAGGAAGTCAGGGATGCTGCTAAATATCATACATTGCATAGGACAGTGTTCCACAACAAAGAATCATCTGTACTAAAATGTTAGTATTGCCGAGGTTGCAAAACCCTGTCATACACCGAATGATGAAATTATTTTAGCACTCTTACTTTTTTTGGTGCATATATACTTTTTTTTTGTCTTTGAGTGTGTGACATTGAAGCTCCTATGCCCTCTATTTAGGAATTAATTAGTGTATAAAAGACCATTTTAAACCCATGTGTTCCTAAGTCTAAAGTGACACTGTTACCTATATTGTAAAGTATCTATTATCAGAAGCTGGTGTTGATATGCTTTTGCTCTAGTGAATAGCTATGCTTGGATCTGTGGAAGGCTGATGCAAATTTGTAGTTAGAGTTGCTTCTGTATATCCTTCTATTGTATGTTCATATATATGGTTTGCAATATAACCTGGCAATAAATGATTCTTCAGTGAATCATTTCTAGTAATAACTAACTAGACTCTTAAACAAAATTCTGAGGTATTTTGACAGTGTTGAGTTTTTTGGGTGTTGTGATAGTGGTAATTCTAACAGGATTTGTTTTAATATGTGCTCTTTTGTATATACAGGTAAAAAACTGGGTCAAAGAATTACGGAAAATGTTGGGAAATGAAATCTGTTTATGTATAGTTGGTAAGCATCATTACTTCTTTTTTTTTTTTAAAGACTCCTTTGTTTCCTTACTGTTTCATTAAAAACAAGTAATTTTTGTTTTCAGGTTACATGAAAAAGGAAGAAGAGTGACATATCAATATAAATATTTTAGAATGATTTAGGATTTAGCCAGATGTGGTAGTTCACACCTGTAATCCCAGCACCTTGGGAGGCCGAAGCAGGTGGATCACCTGAGGTCAGGACTTTGGGACTGGCCTGGCAAACATGGCGAAATCCTGTCTCTACAAAAAAAAAAAATTAGCCGGACATGGTGGTGCATGCCTGTAGTCCCAGCCCCTTGGAGGCTGAGGCAGGAGAATTGCTTGAATCCAGGCAGCGGAGGGTGCAGTGAGCCAAGGTCTCACCGTTGCACTCCAGCCTGGGAGATGGAGTGAGACTCCATCTCAGAGGGAAAGAAAAAAAGAATAATAATAATTTAGGATTTAGAAATGGTTTTCCAGGAGATTTAAACTCTAAGGAATGCCTTGGGGAGCAAATTGTAAACTAAACACTTGGAGCTTCAGATTTCCTAGCCTTGCTTCAATTTGACCTTTACTTTTTTACTGTACAATTTTGCTTAGGAAAAAAAGATTTGTAACTACTTTAAAATAAAATTTAGGAAATGGCTTAAGCCAGTCTTCTTATTCTACACATTTAACTACACATTTTTGAGTAATGGGCAAATTTGACCGCAAGGATACAAGTAGATTGTGATCCCAGGGCGGAGGAATATTCCTAATTGTATAAAGGAACTCTACAAATTCACCTTTGGACTTCTGGAATTGCTCTTTGCTTCCTTTTTCTTTAGATTATTATTTCTTCTTCTTTGTTTTTTTTTAATAGAGTCGGGGTTTCACCATGTTGGCCAGGCTGGTCTCAAACTCCTGACCTCAGATGATCCACCCACCTTGGCCTCCCAAAGTGCTGGGATTACAGGCTTGAGCCACCACACCCAGCCAGATAATTATTTCTATGATATCACAATTAATTATTGAACAATAAAAGTGAATAGTGAGTGCACAGCACAGGTTTTTGAGTTCACAGTGTGCTGTGCACTCACAGACATTATCTCATCTAATCCTTATAATCCTATTAAGGTTTTATAGAGGAGGCTGAGTCCTGGAGATAATAACTTGCCCAGTGTCAGGCAGCTTTCAGGGATCAGATTTGAAATGAAGTCATTCTGACTCTTATGTTACTAATCCTTATGATGTATAGCCTCAGGCTGTTTTCTCTCTTTATTTCTGCATACCTGATGATAAGAACAATGCAGGAGAAGCCAGGATAGGATCATTTTAGTGGAAGACAAAGGTAGTATTTGGGGATATGAAAGAACGGAATAGTCATTGTGGGGAAATGCTGCTTTTAGCCTTAAGAATTTTTTTTGAACTTGAGTTTACATTTCTTATCTCATGTCACCATTAGATTGGTAGCTTTATAGTCCCAGATCAGGGGCAAATCTTGGGAAAAAGAGCAAGGAGTTGATTTCCCCTGCATTATGGTCTAGATGCTAGATGTTAGGCTAGGCAGGAATATTTCAGACTGGAACACTATAAAGTAGTAGGCTACTTGGAGGTTTGGAGCTAAAGCTACAGCTAATCATTACTGAGTTTTGGGTAGCTTTGTGTGGTATATGGACTTACTAGGAGTGGAAGTGGCCACAGTAGATGAATGACTGAAGATTTAATATTTTGGGATTCTGATCATCTCTCTGAAAATAGAAAGAAATTACTAACATAGACTATGAAGTCAAGGAAACCCCAAGAGCTTGTTACTTGTCCAAGGTCACAAAGTAACATTAAAAAGAAAAACCACCTAAGTTAAATAAACTCATGAATAGTTTATTTAAAGTATATATATATATATTTTTAATGTTCAACAAAGTACCTTTTATGTGGCCCCTGTATAAAAGTTGAAGGCACACCATTAAATTGAACCTCAGGGAAGATACTTTTACTGGAGCATCGGAGGGAGTGGTTGCTATATATTGAATTGCTTTCCTTAAAAATGTTAATATATAAAGTGTATATTTTTAATATTTATATTATGAGAAGTCTCAGGAATATTGGATCTGGTAGCCTACTGACGCAAGTAGGGTCAGATACTCCATTTAGTATTATATAATGTTTATTAATGATTAGTGTGAAGTATAAAAAGCTCTCACTTTCTTCTGATTTGAGCTCCAGTAAAACTCCAGTCTCCCATTAAAAAAAAATTCTGAGCTTAGTTACCAATTTTCCCAAACTTATTAGGATAACTTAGAGATTTAAAAAAAGTTTCTTGGGCCTCATTAACAGATACACTACATCAGAATCTCTATGGATGGAGCTAAGAATTAATTCCCTTTTTTCACCCCACCTTTCTTCCTTCCACAAATATTTTTGAGTGGCTTTTTTGTACCAGGCATTGTGTGCTGTTAATTCTGATTTAGTGTACATACACACTGGTGTTAGAGAGCAACTTATTTTTTCTGACACAGTGCAAGAAATGAACTTTTCTTCACATTTAGCTGAAATCATAATCCCTGTAACCTTTAACCTAACTAATTTTTAAAGTGAACTTTTTATTGTATGTACAGAAAATTATACAAATCTTCAATAACATAATTTTCACAAAATGAAAATCTCACAGTGTAAGCAGTACCTAAGGACTCTGAGTTATGTTGCTTTTTCATCCCAACACTCAAGAGTTGTTTTCCCTCACCATTCCCTACCCCTCATCACTATCCTGAATTATTTTCATTTTGAATTTTATGTAAATGCAGTCATATAATATTAACTCTTTTTTTGGCTTCACATTACGTTTCTAAGATTTCTCTATGGTGTATATAGTTGTAGTTCATTTTATGCTGTTTGCTGTCTAATACTTTAAGAAAACTCCACAGTTTATCCATTTTGCTATTGATGAACATTTGCATTATTTTTCCCACTTGATTTTTATTATCTGTAGTAGTATTTCAGTGTTTATTGTCTCTTCTGTTTTATTAGTTAACTTTGAAATAATAATATTACCTCTCAGGATTATGATGATTATATAATGATTTGAAAAATACTTGGCATAGAGATAGACATTTGACAAGAATTTATTCTTTACATAAGATAACTCTTAAAGCATTTGAAGACTACTTAAATAGTTTACTATAAGTCTTCAGTTCTCTAGATCTTCAGCTGTTTTTTCTGTGGCCTACATTCTAGACATTCTGATTATCCTGCTCATTTTGTCTCCTAGGTTTATTTCACTATTATCAGTATGTCTCCCACACTTGGAGATAAATGATAGAATCCAAATGTTGTTGAGTCAGTATGTACTTACAGGTCCTGTCTCTCTCCTCACACTGGCCTTCTATCCGGATTGCCTGAGATTGCTTAAACTTTTTAGCAGACATGTCAACTAATCTCTTACATAGATTATAGTTATCCAAAATAAGTATTGCTATTCAGTCAGGTTTTTTCCAGCTTGTTCTCATGTAATTATTTAAAGCTAAGTAGAAATTTCAGCTCGTCGTGTTTTTGAATCTTTATGTTTGATACACAATCTACTAGCATTTTCATGTGTAAATTAAATACTTAACCTCCTAAGTCCATATCTAAGCCACTGATACTCATGTGCTAACCAGTAGTAGAGAACCCCATGTTTCGACTGGGCACAGTGGCTCATGCCTGTAATCCCAGCACTTTGGGAGGCCAAGGTCGGTGGATCCACGAGGTCAAGAGATTGAGACCATCCTGGTCAACATGGTGAAACCCCATCTCTACTAAAACTACAAAAAAAAATTAGCTGGGCATGGTGGCACGTGCCTATAATCCCAGCTACTCAGGAGGCTGAGGCAGGAGAATTGCCTGAACCCAGGAGGTAGAGGTTGTAGTGAGCCGAGATTGCGCCATTGCACTCCAGCCTGGGTAACAAGAGCGAACCTCTGTCTCAAAAAAAAAACAGAACCCCATGTTTCAATAGCAGAGGCTTTTCCCTCTAGGTTGTCATTAATCCACTGATAGGCACCCTTGGCTATGGTTGATAGTATTCTGCATATGGTCTATCCTTAACATTTGTGTATTTCTTGAACAAATACTTATTATTAATCATAGTCACCATTTATTGAGTGCCAGGCCCTGCTTTAAGTACTACACATTTTTTATTTCATTTAAACCTCCTGACAATGCTGCAGGAAGACCATTTCATTTTACATATGAACAAAATGTGCTTAGAGAGCTTGAAACTTCCCAGTCTTATAGCTTGTTAGAAGTAGACCTGGGATTTTAACTTAGATCTGCCTGCTTCTTCAAGCCCATATCCTTAAAATACTTAATAAACACTTCATTTCTTACTATGTGCCAGGCTTTGGGAATAGTGTAGTGAATAAGTAAACAAAATAGATATGGTTCTTGTCCTCCCAGAGTTTCTTGTGTAAAAAGAGAGAGGAAAACAAGCTACTATAATACATTGTAATAAATGCTATGAAAGGAAAATGCAGAGTGGAGTGCTATGAGAGCCCAAAAGCAAACCAACTAGATTTGGGTCACAAGGGGGAGATAAGGGAAAATTTCATAGCACAAATGTTGAAAAAACTAAGTTAGTTAGATGAAGCCAGTAGAGATGGTGGTAGAAAGTGTGTTACCAGCTGAGCACAGTGGCTCATGCCTGTTATCCCAGCACTTTGGGAGGCTGAGGCAGGCGGATCATTTAAGGCCAGGATTTTGAGACCAACGTGACCACCATGGTGAAACTGTCTCTAAAATCCAAAAAAAATGGCCAGGCGTGGTGGGGCATGCCTGTAGTCCCCACTACTCAGGATGCTAAGGCCAGGACAATCACTTGAACCTGGGAGGTGGAGGTTGCAGTAAGCCAAGATCACATCATGGCATTTCAGCCTGGGCAAGAGATCAAGTCTCCATCTAAAAAATAAAAAAATAAAAGTGGACATTAATTCTCAATAACAATATTGATTTTCCATTTGATTATTCATTGTGATGAATGTCATTAATATTAATAACTGTTCTTTATTGAGCATGTACTATATGCTGGGCCTTTTACAAACATCTTATTTTTACATCAACCCTTCATGGTTTGTTAGCAACACGTGCACAAAGTAAGATTAACTAATTTGCCCAAAACATTACAGTTATAGCCAGGCGTGGTGACTCTCATTTTTAATCCCAGCACTTTGGGAAGCCAAGGTGGGCAGATTGCTTAAGTTCAGGAGTTTGAGACCAACCTGGGCAACATGGCAAAACCTCATCTCTACAAAAGATTAAAAAAATACAAAAAATTAGCCAGGTGTGGTGGCACGTACCTGTAGTCCCAGCTGCTCAGGGGACTGAGACAGGAGGATGGTTTAAGCCCAGGAGGTGGAGGCTACAGAGAGCCGTGTTCACACCACTGCACTCCAGCCTGAGTGACAGAGCAAGAACCTGTCTCAGAAAAAAGCAAAAGAAAAAGAAATTACAATTATGGAGTAAGCAAGGACTTAAAAACAAGTTTTATTACATTTAAAAGTTTTTTGAAAGTTTCTTTCCACTATGCCCTGCAACCATCCAGTCTAAGCATAATATGATGCTAGTTCTTTATCATTATCAGACCATTTGCCCTTAGCAGTGGGCATATCCCTTCTAGGTTCTTAACAGATAAGTATTTTTAAGGAAGATGAAGTTTTGCTCTGCTTAACTTAGAGGGTAGCTTTTTCCCTCCCTTTCCAGTAGTCTCAGCCTGTTTATTTATTTATTTTTTCATTCTTTATAGCACTATACTTTTAAGTAGGTGCTTACTTTGGTTATTGTCCTTGTTTTCAGGTGTTTTAAGCCTATCAGAAAGTTTCTTACATAGCTGCACAGTTGTATTGAAGCAGATATGAGTCTCAAAGCCTTACTCCTTAGCTGTCTTACTTTTGAAAAAATATAGAAACCAAAAAGGGTTTTCAGCTTTGGAAAGAGGTCAGTCACTAGCAAGTTGGTTTTCTGCAGTGTATTCTGTGCTATCAATCCATTGTGAACACTGATTATTCAAAGAAATAATAGGTAAATTTAAAATGTTTTAAAATAATAGGTTATTAAGATAGCTATTTTATTAATGGCCTGATTTATTACAATTAGTCATTTAAAATATTATTAAATAATAAAGCAGTGTCTGAATAATTTCTCCTAAATATTCATTTGAAGCAGTAAAGTGATTGTCTATTTTTCCTGTCTTCATTCTTTTTATAGGTACTGATGAAATTGATGGAATTTGGAAAATGAGGCATTAAAGACCTAGAAAAATAATTGCATAGGGTTTGAGGCAATTGGAACAAAATTAATATTGCTGTGTTTAGTAGGAAGCTATCTTATTTTACCTTTATGAGGCAGAATCTTGTTCCTGTTTGCTGGAGCCACTGGCCACCAGGTGGTGCTTTTTGCCTTCCTTGCAGAATAAAACTACTTGGCAACTCTGGTTACTGTCATTGACCATGATATTTAGCAAATTAAAATTTTCAATGACAGATATATTGTAGCAACTTAGAACTAATACGAAATTTCTTGCTATGGTAGATAGCAGCTCAAAGAAGGAAGAGTTTATTACTGAATTTGTTGGTATCCACTGAGCTTTATTATTGTCTACTTCTGTCTCTCTCATTCTTATGCTATGGTGGCAAATAGTTTCTTGGAGTTGCCAGCAACTAAGTTCTCAGATTATTTGAGGTCCTCAGTATACAGAACCTTTGGACTTACCCACCTCAGTGCTAAACATTGTACCTTTTATTGGATGCTTATTTCAATGCCTTATCTGAAATTGTCTCCTAGAATCTATATGGTTCCACACAAAAAAAAGTAACCTTATTTGTAAGATTTCTCTTTTCTCCCTAAAAGTCATAATCGAAGAATAAAAATATTTTTTTGAAGTCTCCTTTGTAGGGTATTTTTCCCTATTATCTACTGTTTTTATTACTTTTAGCACTCTGTGTCCAGCCGACTCATCTTAACTTCAGGGAATCAGTCTTTTGCAGTTTCTTCATTTTTGTTTGGGTGGCTTTTTTAAAAAGCATTCATCTTGGTTCCATTGTTTAAGGAGAGCTAACCTTATTTATAATAATTTTAAATCTGCATGATATACTAAGTTCTAATAACTCACTAAAATTGTTTTTTAAATAATACAGTTTTTTCCCTTATGATTGTGGAGTAGTTAAACATCTGTACAGTTTAATTCTTACTTTAACCAGCTTATATTATGCAAGAAACCAAAATACTTGTAGGATCCAAGAGGCTAGCCTAATGTATTTTAGTAAACACTAAGATAGCAATACTTTATATTGACTGGCTCTAAGTTAATGGGAACTGTAGAAAATTTTGCCCTTACTTTTGATCATTTATACTTGGCTAAGAATCATAGTCATCTCTGTCAGAGGCTGCAGATTCAGGAAAGGTATAAATTGAGCCATTTGAAGGAAGATGAGGTATGATCAGCCCTCAGATCACAGGGCTTAACTTGATAATTTCAAAACATTTAAAAGTCCGGTGGGAATTTGTAGTATTTTTGCTGGTAGTTAAAATGGCAATTTTATATTTAGAATTGGCTTAATTTTGTTATAGAAATTAATCAGCATAAAGATAAATATTAATTTTTTTCAAAATAGGTAATAAAATAGACTTGGAAAAGGAGAGACATGTTTCCATTCAAGAAGCAGAATCGTAAGTACTGTGACCCTCCAGTTCCCCATTACTCCCCAGTAGAAGTCTTCCTCTTTGTACATTTTGCTTTACTATTTAGGTATTATTCAAATCTCTTAACATACATTGAGGTATTAGATTCAGTGAAGCATGTTTACATGGTAATTTCTGGACTTGTGGCAATAAAAATATTCTGCTCTTACTTCCCTTTTTGACTTCAGTAAAAAATACCTCTGATATAAAACAAAACTATTATGATCAAAGAGTAAGTCACAAAAACTTTTAAAGTATTTGAGTTCCAGATTAATCTATAAAAATTTCAAGTCTTGTTATATTTGGGTTAGTTAAAATTTGGTTTAATGTATAGGGAAGTGAAATAGCTATATAAACTTAATTTCACTAAACTTGAGCAAATTAATGTCACTAAAACTATTACTATAAAAAGTTTCAAAAAGCAGTTAAGACAAAATCATGAACAATATTTTACATCAATCACTGATGTTACTTTTTTTTAAGGTATGCAGAATCTGTGGGAGCAAAACATTATCATACTTCAGCCAAACAGAACAAAGGAATTGAGGAACTCTTTCTTGACCTTTGTAAAAGTAAGTATATTCAGATTTAGTTTGTTTAGGAATGGTTTTTATTTTTTACTTTTTAAAAAATAATGTTATGTGTTTTATACCAGTGTTACTTTTTGAAGAATTGGTTCTTTTTAAACTATTGACTATTGGTAGAATTTCTAAAGTGCTGTAACTTTTTTAAAGCTTAAATACCTACTTTAGCCCTATTTCAAGCAGTAATTATGGTTAAGAAATCATATGTATAGTATGGGCCAAATATACAGGCATAACTATTAAAAGTGGAAGGGGAATTTACTTTTTAAAACATATTTAAGATCTATAACAACCTGTTGCAGTGAATGGACCTTATTTGGACACTGATTTGTCAAACTAATGAACAAGAATGTGAAATAAGATATTTGATGATATTAAGGTATTATTAATTTTTAGGTGTGATTATGGTATTGTGGTTATGCTTTATAAAAGGAGTTTTTATCTTTTAAAGACACATTAAGGAATAAAATTACAGGTCTGAGATTCGGTTCAAAATAATAGTAGGGAGGCTTAGGGTTATGAATGAAATTGGGTGATGGATTTTCATCATGCTGTATTAATACTTTATGTTTGAAAGTTTCCATATTAAAAAGTTTATAGTTTTAAAGAAAAAGGAAAATAACCCCTTTTCTCATATTACCTATATAATGCATATCTGAGTTTATGGACCTTAGACCCTTGAGAATTTGATCATGGTTTTCTCTCTATAAGAGAATATTGGGGTGTGTGTGTGTGTGTGTGTGTGTGTGTGTGTGTACACATATACTCACATACTTTGGAATAAATTAGTTTTATGAAACCCTCAAGTCATTCATAATTCTTCTAGAATAGTGATTATCTAACTGATATCCCTGATCAGCAGCATCAATATCACTTGAGAATGTGTCAGAAATGCAAATTCTTGGGCTCTCCAAGCCTACCGAATCAGAATTTCTATGGGTGGTGCCCAGAATCTGTGTTTTAATAAACTCTTCATATGATTCCAACTAACAGTAAAATATAAGAACCAATGCGGTAAATAACCACTTGGGAACCAAATGCATATTTTGATTTAATAGGTCTAGGGTAGATTGAGGTCCTCATTTCTACAAGCACCCAAGTGGTAGTGATGCTAGTCCTCAGGATAAACTCCCTCCCTCCCTTCCTTCTTTCCTTCCATCTGTCCATTCATCCATCTGTCTGTCCATCCTGCAATGCACTGGTTCAGTGGCTTCCAAATGTTTTAAATGTCATGTCTTCAAAACAATTTTTGCATGTTCCACATATGTTTATTTAGAAATTATATAACATGTACAAGTACTAATATGTACATTTAAAAACATACCTAAAAATAGAAATTTTGAAAAGTTGAGAAAAATAAGTACATATAGAATTTGTAATGTTTTCTTATTTCATCTTGGTGAATTGTCCTACATACCTCAACTTGAAAACCATTGATCAAGAGCAGTCTCTAAACCCAAATTTAAGAACCCTTACTGTTTTGAGGACCCTCTTTTCTTCTTTCATCTTGTCAAATTTGTGTTTTGAAAATATTTTGTCCCAGTCTGTGTCTTGTATTCCCATTTTTCTTAACTGTGTGTCTTAAAGAGCTGTTTTAAGTTTCAGTGAGGTCCAGTTTATCTGTTTTTCTTTTATGATTCATGTTTTGTGTCCTACGTGAGAACTCTGTGTAAGCCAAAGTCACAAAAGTTTTCTCCTATAAAGATTTTTCTCCTGTGTTTTCTTCTAGACATTTTGTTTCACATTTTACATTTAACTATATAATTCGTTTTTCATTGGTTTTTTGCATAAGGTGTTAAGGTATGGGTGTTTTTGTTTTTTTTTTTAACTGTAGATATCCAGTTCTCTTAATAGTGCTGTTTCTTGAAAATACTATTCTTGCTTCGTTTAGTAATCTTGACAAACATGTCAAAAATCAAGAGACCATATCTACGGGGGTCTATTTCTGGACTCTGTTTTTTTTGTTCCATTGATCTCTGTATTTCTCCTATCATCATCTCACTGTTTTAATTAGTGTGACTTTATCTTGAAATCAGATAGTGTGAGTCTTCCAGCTGTGTTCTTCAAAGTTCCTTCATCTTAAACTCTATTGTTCTTCAAATATCACCGTGGTTGGGGACAGTGGCTTGCATCTATAAGCCCAGTGCTTTGTGAGGCCAAGGCAGTAGGATTGCTTGAGCCCAGGAGTTTGAGACCAGCCTGTGCAACATAGTGAGACCCCCATCTCTACCAAAAAAAAAAAAAAAAAATCAGCCAGGCATGGTGGTGCATACCTGTAATTCCAGCTAATCAGGAGACTGAGGAAGGAGGATCACTTGAACCCAAGAGTTAGAGACTGCAGTGAGCGATGATCACACCGCTGCACATCCAGCCTGGGCATAAAGTAAGACCCTGTCTCTAAAAACTGAAAAAAAAAAGATTTACTTAAAAGTATTACATTTCTGGTTGAAGAATAAATCCTGCACCCTAAATATTACTTGGAGCAACTTGAATTTCTTTGACATATTTCTAAGAACACTTGGAAAATCTTAAGGATTATACTTGTACACAGACATTTGTTCAGAGCAAAAAAAAAGTTTTTTGTTTATTGATGTCACTGTGGCCATTATACCATTGGATAAATAAGCTTACTACTCGATACTAGTTTTTGACACTGTTTTTTAAAACATGCAGGTGAAGCTATTTTAGTGAGCTGACACAGTGTTCATTATATTTGGTTTATTTGTTGGTCAAAAGTCAGAAATAGCTATCATAGTGTTAACTGAAATTTTAGAAAGAGAAAACACAGATTGTGGTCCTAATCATGTTTGCTTTCTCTCTCTCTTAGGGATGATAGAAACAGCACAAGTGGATGAGAGAGCGAAAGGCAATGGCTCTAGTCAACCAGGAACTGCAAGGCGAGGTGTACAGATTATTGATGATGAACCTCAAGCCCAGACCAGTGGTGGAGGGTGCTGTTCTTCTGGATAACTGTTCACGCCTAAGAAATTAAAAGACAGAATAAAACTGTGGATCATTGCCCTCAACATGAAGACTGCCATATTCCAAGTCACATTATTTTACCAATGGAATTATAGAATTAACAGTATTTTAAATTACGTTTATAACACTGCAGAGACCTTAAGTGCTAAACTTAGTGGAGTTTGTGACCAGAGAATTGGCATTTTCTACAAATGTTAACAAAGCAATTACCAATGGCCTTTTTACATATTTTTTTCTTTAATGAGGAATATTATGCATGTAGAAAAGACCTACTTAAAGGCTTCATTTATATTCTTTCAAATCAAATCTTTATTTAATAACTTATATATGTTGTTGGAATGGTTACATTTTTGCAGCCCTTTGTATTTTGTGGTAGTTTGAATTGTATCACTTCTAAACAGCAAACTGTTTATGTTTCTGTTTTTGTTTTTAATTAGCAAATATCTGAAGTACTATTTTTGCAGGGTTTGCACAGGCCCCTAACTGTCTACTACTTTGATATAATCTGTATACATCCTGTATGCTGAGCTGGTAAAATACATTGTAAATTACATATTAAATATTTTATCTGCTTTTACAAGCGCAAGGTGCAAAAATATGTACAATAGTCTCATTGATGACTGTAAAGTGAATTAACATTTGGTGATAATGCCTAAGCTTTTTTGACTCTAAAGATCATAGCTCCCCTTCACTTCTGTCTTAACTTGAACATGGCTTGTTTAAATTTTTATACATACTTTACTTGAATTATTGCTGTTGTCATATATTTTTGCCTCTGTGAGTTCATCTGATGGTTGAGCAGTAGCATTTGCCTTTTGGTTTTTTGTTGTTTTTATAGAAAAGATGACTTCTGCTGATTCTGCTTTTGAATAGTTACCTTGGAAGAATTTGGGTGGCTCATGTCGAATTTCACTTCTGCAATAGCTTTAGTTTTCTCATAGGCTTTATATGAGATGGTTTCAGTGGTATGAGCAGGAGGAAGAGATCCCAGACAGTAGCCAGTCACCAAGACTCATTCATATAGCATGTAGTTTATGTTCCTGAGGCAGCACTTTTAGATCCTTTGTGAGCAAGTTCTGTTTGTTCATTGCTTGCCAGAGATGAACACAGAATGTTCTGTTTCATTTTATAAGAACTATCCTGAGTTTCTATGGATGGAAACATGACATGTAATACAGTTACAGTGAACACTGGAAAGATTTATTAAAGAATTATATTTGTGTATACTTTATAAATTAGTCCCTCATTAGATTTTTTTTCTTAAGCCTAAAACTGAACTTACATGTGTTAATTTTAGTAGAATCAGGCACTGCTCACAGAAGGAACACAGATTGTGGAAATTAACATAAATTGTTCTTGTTCTAATATATATATTTTTTCATTTCTGTCATGCTTGGAAAACTAGTAAATGTTATGTCTAAGATAAAATGCAATGGTCCCTGGATTTACTTCTTTTAAGAAGCAGTAGTGTGTAATAAAGCTGTTAGCATGAGCAATTAAGAGGCTATAAAGAGATTATAGTTACAAAAGAAATACTGCCATGTTTTTAAGTTAATAACTTAAACCTTCCCAAATGGGTTAAAAGTGGAATGAACTGACACCCTGATGTTATGATGTTAGAATTTTAACTTTTAACTAGAAGGCGTTTTGTGAACCTTCACTTTACCTTCTTTAATTATTGTCCTTGCTAAACTCAACACAGACCTTTCTGTTAAGTGTTTTTGAGGAAGTTGGGGTGGGAAGAGTCAGGGAGATAAGCTGAAATTGTCTTCTTTTATGGGGTAATTGTACTCGGTAGTCTGTTGGTTTCCTGTGACGTTAGTATTTATGTGGGGGTGGGGGAAGGCAACAAGAATCGTGAGTATCACAGGATACTTTGTTTTTGCCCTCCTGGCTCTTTCAGACAGAGTAAAGAAAGCTTTTCCATTCTTATGTTGTAGATGTAGATAGGAAATAAGCTTTTCTCACTGCAGTGAAATATGTTATAAAAACTACAGTAGCTGGGCACAGAGGCATGCACCTGTAGGCCCAGCTACTTGGGAGACTGAGGCAAGAGGGTCACTTGAGCCTAGGATTTCAAATCCAGCCTAGATAACACTGAAACCTCCATCTCTAGAAGACACAAAAACTAGTTAGAGATTAAATTGAGCTTTATTTTAAAAAACGTTCTAAAGCCTGATAATTGGAGAGCTACACTTCAGCTTTTCAACCTAATTTAATGATATAATAGCTAGGTAGGAACGTCTGCTCCAGAATTGCCAGATCATTATTAATAGGGTATAAATATTCTCCATATTTTGTTTTTCATTTTTATCCTTTGGTTTCTGGGTTATCTTTCTTAACCTCACGTATTTCATCCTGTTTAGTGGGGGCCTGTAAATCAGGCTAATTCAATAGCAACAATAGACAACATGGTATGGCTGATGTCACTTTAAAACCCAAAAGGTCTTTGGGTAGGAATAGGCTAATGAAAGAGGACCAATCAACTTTATATATACAAAGCAAAGACAAAGAGATGATAAACCAAGGCTGAGGATATTTTTTTGACACTTCATCTCTCTAATACATCTTTTGCATTCCTGTTCTGATAATTGTGCTACTAGGAGGAAGACATGAGTTATCACGTTGTATATTTTTTTTTTTTTTTTTTTTTTTTTTTTTTTTTTATTGGATTATAGGTTTTGGGGTACATGAGCAGAGCATGCAAGACAGTTGCGTAGGTACACACATGGCAGTGTGCTTTGCTTTTCTTCTCCCCTTCACCCACATTTGGCATTTCTCCCCAGGCTATCCCTCCCCACCTCCCCCTCCCACTGGCCCTCCCCTTTTCCCCCCAATAGACCCCAGTGTTTAGTACTCCCCTTTCTGTGTCCATGTGTTCTCATTTTTCATTACCCACCTATGAGTGAGAATATGCGGTGTTTCATTTTCTGTTCTTGTGTCAGTTTGCTGAGGATGATGTTTTCCAGATTCATCCATGTCCCTACAAACGACACGAACTCATCATTTCTGATTGCTGCATAATATTCCATGGTGTATATGTGCCACATTTTTCCAATCCAGTCTATTATCAATGGGCATTTGGGTTGATTCCAGGTCTTTGCTATTGTAAACAGTGCTGCAATGAACATTCGTGTACATGTGTCCTTATAGTAGAACGATTTATAGTCTTTTGGATATATACCCAGTAATGGGATTGCTGGGTCAAATGGAATTTCTATTTCTAAGGCCTTGAGGAATCGCCACACTGTCTTCCACAATGGTTGAACTAATTTACACTCCCACCAACAGTGTAAAAGTGTTCCTTTTTCTCCACATCCTCTCCAGCATCTGTTGTCTCCAGATTTTTTAATGATCGCCATTCTAACTGGCGTGAGATGGTATCTCAGTGTGGTTTTGATTTGCATCTCTCTGATGACCAGTGACGATGAGCATTTTTTCATATGATTGTTGGCCTCATATATGTCTTCTTTCGTAAAGTATCTGTTCATATCCTTTGCCCACTTTTGAATGGGCTTGTTTGTTTTTTTCCTGTAAATCTGCTTGAGTTGTTTGTAAATTCTGGATATCAGCCCTTTGTCAGATGGGTAGACTGCGAAAATTTTTTCCCATTCTGTTGGTTGCCGATCCACTCTAGTGACTGTTTCTTTTGCCGTGCAGAAGCTGTGGAGTTTGATTAGGTCCCATTTGTCTATTTTGGCTTTTGTTGCCAATGCTCTTGGTGTTTTGTTCATGAAGTCCTTGCCTACTCCTATGTCCTGGATAGTTTTGCCTAGATTTCCTTCTAGGGTTTTTATGGTGCCAGGTCTTATGTTTAAGTCTTTAATCCATCTGGAGTTAATTTTAGTGTAAGGTGTCAGGAAGGGGTCCAGTTTCTGCTTTCTGCACATGGCTAGCCAGTTTTCCCAACACCATTTGTTAAACAGGGAATCCTTGCCCCATTGCTTGTTTTTGTCAGGTTTATCAAAGATTGTATAGTTGTATGTATGTTGTGTTGCCTCCGGTGCCTCTGTTTTGTTCCATTGGTCTATATCTCTGTTTTGGTACCAGTACCATGCTGTTTTGATTACTGTAGCCTTGTAGTAGAGTTTGAAATCCGGTAGTGTGATGCCCCCCGCTGTGTTCTTTTTGCTTAGAATTGACTTGGCTATGCGGGCTCTCTTTTGGTTCCATATGAAGTTCATGGTGGTTTTTTCCAGTTCTGTGAAGAAAGTCAATGGTAGCTTGATGGGGATAGCGTTGATTCTGTAAATTACTTTGGGCAGTATAGCCATTTTCACGATATTAATTCTTCCTAACCATGAACATGGAATGTTTCTCCATCTGTTTGTGTCCTCTCTGATTTCGTTGAGCAGTGGTTTGTAGTTCTCCTTGAAGAGGTCCCTTACGTTCCTTGTGAGTTGTATTCCAAGGTATTTTATTCTTTTTGTAGCAATTGCGAATGGCAGTTCGCTCTTGATTTGGCTTTCTTTAAGTCTGTTATTGGTGTAGACGAATGCTTGTGATTTTTGCACATTGATTTTATATCCTGAGACTTTGCTGAAGTTGTTTATCAGTTTCAGGAGTTTTTGGGCTGAGGCGATGGGGTCTTCTAGGTATACTATCATGTCGTCTGCAAATAGAGACAATTTGGCTTCCACCTTTCCTATTTGAATACCCTTTATTTCTTTTTCTTGCCTGATTGCTCTGGCTAGAACTTCCAGTACTATATTGAATAGGAGTGGTGAGAGAGGGCATCCTTGTCTAGTACCAGATTTCAAAGGGAATGCTTCCAGTTTTTGCCCATTCAGTATGATATTGGCTGTTGGTTTGTCGTAAATAGCTTTTATTACTTTGAGATACGTTCCATCGATACCGAGTTTATTGAGGGTTTTTAGCATAAAGGGCTGTTGAATTTTGTCAAATGCCTTCTCTGCGTCAATTGAGATAATCATGTGGTTTTTGTTTTTGGTTCTGTTTATGTGGTGAATTACGTTGATAGACTTGCGTATGTTGAACCAGCCTTGCATCCCTGGGATGAATCCTACTTGATCATGATGAATAAGTTTTTTGATTTGCTGTTGCAATCGGCTTGCCAATATTTTATTGAAGATTTTTGCATCTATGTTCATCATGGATATTGGCCTGAAGTTTTCTTTTCTTGTTGGGTCTCTGCCGGGTTTTGGTATCAGGATGATGTTGGTCTCATAAAATGATTTGGGAAGGATTCCCTCTTTTTGGATTGTTTGAAATAGTTTTAGAAGGAATGGTACCAGCTCCTCCTTGTGTGTCTGGTAGAATTCGGCTGTGAACCCATCTGGACCTGGGCTTTTTTTGTGAGGTAGGCTCTTAATTGCTGCCTCAACTTCAGACCTTGTTATTGGTCTATTCATAGTTTCAGCTTCCTCCTGGTTTAGGCTTGGGAGGACACAGGAGTCCAGGAATTTATCCATTTCTTCCAGGTTTACTAGTTTATGTGCATAGAGTTGTTTGTAATATTCTCTGATGATGGTTTGAATTTCTGTGGAATCTGTGGTGATTTCCCCTTTATCATTTTTTATTGCATCTATTTGGTTGTTCTCTCTTTTCTTTTTAATCAATCTGGCTAGTGGTCTGTCTATTTTGTTGATCTTTTCAAAAAACCAGCTCTTGGATTTATTGATTTTTTGAAGGGTTTTTCGTGTCTCAATCTCCTTCAGCTCAGCTCTGATCTTAGTAATTTCTTGTCTTCTGCTGGGTTTTGAGTTTTTTTGATCTTGCTCCTCTAGCTCTTTCAACTTTGACGATAGGGTGTCAATTTTGGATCTCTCCATTCTCCTCATATGGGCACTTATTGCTATATAGTTTCCTCTAGAGACTGCTTTAAATGTGTCCCAGAGGTTCTGGCACGTTGTGTCTTCATTCTCATTGGTTTCGAAGAACTTCTTTATTTCTGCCTTCATTTCGTTGTTTACCCAGTCAACATTCAAGAGCCAGTTGTTCAGTTTCCATGAAGCTGTGCGGTTCTGGGTCGGTTTCTGAATTCTGAGTTCTAACTTGATTGCACTATGGTCTGAGAGGCTGTTTGTTATGATTTCAGTTGTTTTGCATTTGTTGAGCAGTGCTTTACTTCCAATTATGTGGTCAATTTTAGAGTAGGTGTGATGTGGTGCTGAGAAGAATGTGTATTTTGTGGATTTGGGGTGGAGAGTTCTGTAAATGTCCACCAGGTTTGCTTGCTCCAGGTCTGAGTTCAAGCCCTGGGTATCCTTGTTGATTTTCTGTCTGGTTGATCTGTCTAGTATTGACAGTGGAGTGTTAAAGTCTCCCACTATTATTGTGTGGGAGTCTAAGTCCTTCTGTAAGTCATTAAGAACTTGCCTTATGTATATGGGTGCTCCTGTGTTGGGTCCATATATGTTTAGGATCGTTAGCTCTTCTTGTTGTATCGATCCTTTTACCATTATGTA